TTATAGTGTGGCCTTTGCATCAGGTCAAACTGAAATTTTAAATAAAATACATTAATTAAGGTTTTGTAGAAGAGAGTGAGTTAAATGATTTGTCTTTTGTGTTTAAAACTTTAATGGAGGGCCAGCCCGGTGGCGCACTGGAGAGTGCGTCGCTTGGGAGCGCGGCGGCGCTCCCGCCGAGGGTTCGGATCCCATGTGGAGACCGGTTCCCGCTCACTGACTGAGTGCGGTGTGGGCGTGACACCGAGGGTTGCGATCCCATTACCGGTCAGTAAAAAAAAGACAAAAAGGAAAAAAAAAAAAACTTTAATGGAGATTATAAGAGGAGATCTTGATTTTCAGAATATTTAGCATAAGTTAGATTCTCGTTTATTGTAATACAGAATATTTGGTGTGACTGAAAGAGTCATCCTTTTGTTTTCATACCCAAATTTCAAATATGTGGATTTGTAAGATAAAATTATTTTAATATGCTTTTGTGAATAATTTGGAAAATAATTCAGGAAGCTTCAAAACACAGCCTTAAACTGTTCTGTGGTTGTCCTGTTGTCATCCTAAATAAAAGAAAATTGTATTTAAAATTTCTTCAACTATCTTTATATTGTTATATTTTTATAAAGAAGTCCAACTATTTGATTTTGAGGTTTTAAGTATTTGCCACAAAACAATTTCAGGTTACATCAGATTATAAAGATGATTTCATGAAGCAAAGAATACTAGAGTTAATTTTTTTAAAACATCTGGTTTTTGGTTATTGCCTGTACTGCATATTTTCTTTTGTAAATAGCTTTGACGTTTTGATCTGTATTCTTATTGTGCCAATAACCATCTGTGTTAGATCTGTGATGCATTTTCCCTTCTCCATTTGTATTATGTCCTTTAACAGAAAGCACAGCTGAGTACAAGCTAACTGGAGTAACTTTGCTGTTTTTCTGCTTGTTGCATTCACACAGCAATGGAAAGCAAGCTCCTTTTCCCCTTCCCCAGTGCCATTTGACCTCTCCCAAGATACACAAGCAGCCTGCTTACTACTAAACACAGTCCAAAAGGCCTTTAAAAACACAGTATATATCAATTTTTGTACTAGTCAGTTTATTGACTCTATTTGAAACTTTTGAAATATAAATGGAGAGGCTTTTTGTTGAGACATTGTCACCAAAACAATTTTTTTTGAAATGTTCCTGAAACTAACTTGGGTTTAAAAATTAAAAGGGTTGTTACCATCCTTATATAAGTAGTTGGGAGAACGGAAAATAACACTTTATTCCATTTGGAGAATATATTTCTTTTGTTTTTTAAGACAGCTAAAATGATGAATTTTTATAATTTTAATTTGAAGACTGAATGAATATTTTTCATAAAGATTGTTTTGAGGGCCAGCCCCATGGCTCACTCGGGAGAGTGCAGCGCTGGTAGCGTCGAGGCTGCGGGTTCGGATCCTATATAGGAATGGCCGGTGCGCTCACTGGCTGAGCGTGGTGCGGACCACACCGTGCCGAGGGTTGCAATCCCCTTACTGGTCAGAAAAAAAAAAAATTGCTTTGAGTGCTGATTTGTCTACCTTTTGTAGAATTGCTTTATACATGATATTATTCAGTACAAGTCTGTCATTTGTAATATTTTAGAAATATTAGTAAAGGAGTAAATTAGTAAAGCGGTAGTAGTAAAATGAAAGTAATTTGACTGTACAGTTTGTAGCCAAGTTAAGCAT